GGACTAAAAGCTATTTCCCAGTTCTTAGGGAACACTAACAATACTGCAATACTGCACTAGAAATGTATAGTCAATAAAATTTTGAAAGTGTATCTAATATTTATACTGTTAAAGGATTTAGTAAAACTGTATCCACTCTGACCTTAGGACTAACTATGGACTTTTAGATGATACTTTGCATTTCTTTCCATTTATATAATGCTTACTTTATAATATTGACTGTAGAACTCTAGGAACCCAAACCAGTTATTGTAATGTTGTTCATTAAAACTTGTGGGTCCTAGAAGGAGAAAGTAATACAAATGACATTACTACAGACTGTATCTCTGGCTAAAGTGTTTCTATTTGTTTGTGAAGATTAATACCTGGATTTGTATAATTTGTACTAGAAATTAATATGCTTGTATAATGTTATCTTGGGTAAGTGGACATACAGATTTTGTCCTTGTCAAATAAAACTCCTGAAGTCCTTCTTTGTCCCACAGCAGAATCACAAAGGGTAAATGAACATTAAAAAAAAACAGTCAGCAAGAACTAAGGTGTCAACAACTTGCTGATACTGGGAATGGCCACCAGAAAATTCTAATGGCACGATTAAAAATCAGATTTTTGTAGGAACAAAAGAAATCAGTGATGAACCCATCTTGAGCAGAAAGAAAATTCAAATACAGAAAGTGATTTTCTAGTAAACAGCTCAAAGCCCTGGACTCAGTTGCCAAGGGTAAGCTGCCCTTGGACTTGCCTTGTAGGAACAGGGAAGTCAGGGCCCTTAGACTCTTAATCTCTCATACTCCACAGTTCTTTGGAGATTACCTGTGTCCTACACTGCCATGGCGTTGATTCACACAGCCTTTCCTCATCACAAGAGCTCATTCACCAGCATCTTTCCCAAGAGTCTCTAGGACTCATACATTCAGCTCTCTGTGTTACACTAGATTGTAAAATGCCATATCTCGGTAAACTTCAATTGATAATTCACTCACATGGGATTTAAGGTAGTTGGCCTCGTTTGGATCACCCCTGATTCAATCCTCATACCTACCAGCAGTGTGCCTCTTCACACATCTTTTTAAAAGAATGTTTGACAAGCACATCCACAGACCACAAATATTGTAAAGTTTTTTTTGTAATTAAGAGGAGAAAAATACGTTCAAATTCTTCAATATGAATATTAATATACTGCCATATCTCCAAACACCATCTCATCTTGAAGAGAAACACACGAGGCTCTGGGAATCAGAGACTGAAGAATCCCCAAGGAAGTCTGACAAGAGACCGAGGATTTGTACTGACCTGCATCATGTTCTTGCCTACCTCCTTCTATCCTGTGGTCCAGAGATCTCTTTGATGTCTCTTGGGCAGTGGCCAGCACTGACAGGAAAGTGTGATGACTCAGCTCTCAGTCGAACTCTTAAGTGAATCATTTAAAGTTTTATTTTACATCATTCATTTCTCAGTGCTGTGGGTTAACTCAACCTCACACTTACATTTCTACCTAGCACCTGACACTTCAGACATATGAGAGTGTCTTCAAAGCCCCCATGACATCCTACACTGCTTGATAGCACGGCTCATCTATAGTAGTAGCTAAAGGAGACACCAAATAAAGAACACAGAAGACAGAACCAAGTAGAAGTGTTCTGAGCTGGAATCAGAAACACACTGCTTGTTGGGTTTTTTTCCTGGGATGTATTTCCTCTTCTTTGTTTCAGTCCTTATGGTACGTAAATCATTGGACTTTGAACATTACTAAACAATAATTGGGAAATGTGAGCGAAACATTTGTCAAAGGGGCAAGATTTAAGTGCCTCCCCCTACAACCCTAGTCCAGTGACTAATACATGTTGTGTTTTAGCTGGCCATAGTGGCATAGTACTGAACATTTTTTAGTCATTCTTTTGTTAATAGTAATTTTTCCATTATTTTTTAATTTCATATTCTTACCCTTCCCCCAAGTCCTTTCAGTTGCCTTTCCCCTTCCCTAGCCACCCAACTTTAAGTTCTTTCTCAAAAAAAAAAGAAAGAAAGAAACCCAATACAACAATAAGGCCCCCAAAATCAAGAGAACAAAATAAAACCTCGTCCCAAAAGAAAAACAAACAAACATCAAACCGTAACAAAATAAAAGCACACATACACAAAGTGTGGAGTCTGTTATGTGTTGACCAACTATTCCTGAATACAAGGCCTGT